GGGGGGTGGATGCTACAGTGGTAGATGGCTCGGAGTGGGACGAAAACGTCCACGCTTTTACCTTGGGCAGGACCTGTTGTGCGTGTGCGCAGATGCTGGTGCTTTGGTTTTTAATAGTCCTGCTGGTTCATGGAAACTGTTGGTTTTTTACATTTGCACCTTTTAAAAGTACAGTAAACGTCAGAGCCTGAAATTGATGTGTATTGTTCTTGGATGGTGCAGCTCTGTTTTCTTCTTACAACTCAATAGTTCCAGAAATGCTGGGGCTGTGACATTAAAGAAAACACTCTCGGAGGCTTTCTGTGTGTGAATCAGCTCGTCGGGTCGATGCCGCTCTAATACAGGTATAGAAAAATATTAGCCAGAAGTTAATGAGTTTTTGTGTGTGTGTGTGTGTGTGTGTGTGTGTGTGTGTTGAAGGAGTTTTTATGACCTTGTCTAGCAACAGTTGAAAGTGTATTGACTGATACATCAGTACTGAGGCTCTACATCAGAGGTGTCAGAGGCGTTTTGGTTCAGGAGACACACACAGGCTGATTACGTGTCAAGTGGGCCGGATCAGTACAATCATTACATAACGACCCATACATTACAATATATAAATAAATACATGTGTATTAGAAAATATTCATATTAAATGAAATATATTTTGACAAAAACATTATGAACATGACACGTTATTTATTTATTTGTGCATTTATTTTTACTTTAAAAATGTATCAAGTGAGCCAGAATGTACATTATGAACATGACACGTTTGTACATTTATTTTTACATTAAAAATGTATCAAGTGAGCCAGAATGAAGCCCTTAGTGCATTGTTTCCCAAAGACTGGGTCGTGACCCTCAGGTGGGTCGCAAGACTTTTTTTTTTGGGTCGTCTCACATCATGTTTTGTCAGGAGTTTACGAATAATGTCTACTGACTTGAGTTGCAAACTATTTTGCCTGTGGGCCATTTTTGGCTCTGTATTTCCTGTTATTTATTTTCAACCGATAGTGAACACCAAAACACTTTTTTAGCCAAGTTAGACTAATTTTGTAAGATGTTGCAACATTATCTACAATGACACGAAAAAGAAAGTTATTTTCCTCCTCACCAGTGTGTCGGTACAACGAGCTCTTAAACTGAGGAGTTTGTGTTTCGATGACTTCTCTGGTTAGCAGTGAAGGGGCTGAAGTCGTTGATGTGTTATTTAAGGTTTGGAGGTACAGGCAGGAGGATGGTGGTACAGATGGACCGAGCCGAACTGGGATTCATCCTAATCCCAGATAATAGCAGCGTCAGCTGTAGGTTTATATGTACTATTATGAGATGTCCCAATTTTAAATGAAAATAAATGAATAAATAAACCAACAACAGGGTCGCTCTTATCTTAGCATACACTGCCTGGCACCACAGTGACATTTGGAGCCGGCATTCGGAGACAGCGATGGGTATTTTAGCGAAGTCATCTGACCAGAGAGACAGACTAACTCCCCAGTGGGTTTCATTAGAGCTGGTCCTGATGTTAAAGACTGTTTAATCCACTTCCACAGCCGTGCAGACCACAGAGCAGAGCACAGCGCTCTCTATCTTTAGACGGAACATTCGGGCAGAAACTTCACCGACAACAACAACACTAACACAGTTTCCGGTACTTTCCTCTTTTGATTGTCACTTGCGCTGCTGTTGCTCCTCAGACTGGATGAGACAGGTGATTTCAGCGTCAGATAGGACTCTGTCAATCAGCGTCAGCTCAATTAACTGACTCACAAACAGCTGTGGTTGGTGCGGCGCTGCTCTCCAGCTCTCCAGCTTCGCCCCCTGTCCGCTGTCGGCAGACGTGCAGCCAGAGGGTGCAATTACAATAAAGCCTGATGAGCTGAGTGTTTTGTCTGTGACTGTACTCTCTGGGCCGCCGCTGGTGTGTGACGTACTGACCGTCTTGGCTCGGTACCACACACACACACACACACACACGTGAGTGACCGGATGAGCTGTGATTTCATAGATAATCTAAGCAGAAACAGAATTTTGTGAAATCCAATGTTGATCATGTAGTTCAGCTTAGTGTCCTGTAGTTGGTGCTAAGTCAGCAATTAAAAACTCTGTGCTAGTCGATATATTCTACTGAGGTTTGACAAGAACAAAAATTGATTTTTTTTTCACTTAAATGCTGTTTCACTATATCTTGGAAGCAATAACATTTACACAAAAAAAGTCCAGACATTTCTATTTTCACAAAATCTGAATCAGATCTGTTAGTTTAGGTTCAAAAATGGATTTTAGTGTTCATTTTTGATGGTTAAAATAAAAGAATATAAATCAGTGTTTGGAGACGGTGGGATGATAACGGTTGTTAAAGCCCTTGGAGAGACTTTAAGACTTGACTTAAGTGTTGATAACTTTTAAAATTGTAAAATATCTCTTACTTCTTCACCTGTCACAAATTTACTTCCATTATTTTTTTTTCTCTTATAAATCTAAACCATGCTCTAAGAAGACGACTTTTATCATGCTGTATTTGTACTGACATTTAATCTAAAACTCCTATCCTCTTTTCCCAGTATTGGACTTGAATTAATGAATGTAAATGCACTTTAACTGACCAGTACATATGATTATAATGAATGTAAATGCACTTTAACTGACGACCAGAACTGAGTGAGGTTTTTTACCAGTTGTTGTAAAGTTCGCTGCCTCCGCCTCGGTGTTGGTGGCAGTGAGGCGCCTGCTCCGAGTCTGTTAACAGCTCGGCTCCGTGGTGTTTACCTGAGGATATTGTGAACGTTCAGCACACACAGTGGTCCACGCACCAACCCAGATAATGCAGGCGAGTCAAAGTGTAAAGGTCAAGATACGGCCGGGACAGGAAGGCCGGCCGGAGGTCAGTGATATTATAGGCCCATAAACAGCGTCAGGTTATATCATAGCTGGCTGCACATTTCAATCAGGCGACCACACAGAAACCCCTCCAGTGGACCCGTGAGGTTGGAGGGATTTTTTTTTTTCAGTACATACATTTCTCTCACCTTACATGTTCCTTGTTACTCCACCTCTCTCTGTCATGTGTCACTGCCTCCGTCACTCACATCACCTCCAGCTCTTTACACCTTGATGAAGTCCACGCGACTTAAGAAAAACGTATACGTGTGGATACTCTCTTTTGTGCCTGACCTTTACCAATAAATCAGCAACAGTAATGGATTCTAGATGAAGTGAGGCCTGCACTGTGGAGTGAGCAGGTGACAAATCCATCTGGCCAAGAAGTAACCACACAGAAGCGAGGATAGAAATTATATGATGAAAGCTTTTACTTTTGCTTTTTAATATTGCTTATTTATTATTCTGAGTGAATGTAATTTCACCCAGTGTTTATTACGTTAAACGTCTGCAGTGGGAGCTCTAATGCAGCACGTGTTTCACAGTTTTTACAGAAACAGACGTATAAAAAAAAAATCAAATCCCCAACAGGATCGTTCTTGTAATGTAATGTGTTTAATCATCACTTTGATTTTTAGTCTAGTGACTGGTGGCAGCATGTCTCAGGTGCTGTTTTTAATCAAATATACTCTTTGACGACTAGATTAGGTAAACCATGTGTGTCAAACCCATGGCCCAGGGGCCAAATGTGGCCCAACACCTCATGTCATGTGAGCCACCAGAGTATATCATGTTTATGGTTGTGATGTTTATCATGAAGGATCAGCATGTGCTGATCCTTCATGGTGAAAATGCAGCGGTCAAATTCTGGATTTCTTGTTC